TCTTTCTTTCTTTCTTTCTTTCTTTCTTTCTTTCTTTCTTTCTTTCTTTCTTTCCTGCTTCTTGTATACTGATGGTTCATTGTACATTAACTATGCTCCTTCCATGAGGTGGGGAAATTTTGTTTCACCTTGTAGGAAGGCAATGGCAAACCACCTCTGTTAGCTTCTTGCCTTGAAAAGCATATGAGGTTGTCATGAGTCAGCTGTGACTTGATGGCGCTTTACACACACAGAATAAAGGTAAAGGTTTCCCATGCTCAAAAGCCAGTCGAATCTGACTCCATTTCCAAGTCAAAGGTCGCCCTCAAATCCATAAAGGCCGCGTAGAGACAACCTCTTGGGCGCAAGGAATACTTGCCAGCGAGATGGAGAAGTGTCAGACAATGGTCTGTAGTTGCAACACCCTGTCGGAAGCCACACTGTTCAGGGAAAAGGAACCTCGAAGAGAGATTTGCAAGAAGCTGATACAGTAGAGGCATAACATCCAAATTGCAAGATGTCATAGTCCCACTGTACACTGCATTGGTCAGGCCACACCTGTAGTATTGTGTGAACTTCTGGAGGCCTCACTTCAAAACGGATGTGGACAGAATGGAGTGGGTACAGAGGAGAGTGACAAGGATGATCGGGGGCCTGGAGACCAAGCCCCATGAGGAAAGGCTGAGGGACTTGGGAATGTTTAGTCTGGAGAAGAGGAGGTTGAGGGGGGACAGGATTGCTCTCTTGAAGTATTTGAAGGGTTGTCACTTAGAGGAGGGCAGGGAGCTGTTCTTGTTGGCAGCAGAGGATAATAGGACTCGCAATAATGGGTTTAAATTAAGGGTGGGGAGGTACTGACTGGATATTAGGAAAAACTTTTTTTGTGCAACAGTGGAATCAGCTGCCTAAGGAGGTGGTGAGCTCCCCCCGCATGGCAGTCTTCAAGCAGCAGCTGGACAAACACTAGTGTCAGGGATGCTCTAGGCTAATCCTGCATTGAGCAGGAGGTTAGACTAGATGTCTTGTATGGCCCCTTCCAACTCTGTGATTCTAGGATTCTATGAATACTCCTTGGGGACAATAAGTTGATAATGTGCTTGAAAATTAAGACCTTTTGAAAGGTTAGATTAGAGTCCAGTAGCACCTTAGAAACCAACAAGATCTTTGGGGTCTAAGCTTTCGAGAGACAAAGCTTCCTTCACCAGGTCTGACAAAAGGAGCTTTGACTCTCAAAAGCTTATACCCTGAAAATCTTGTTGCTCTATAAGGTCCTACTGGAATTTAGTTCTTCCACTGAAGATCAACATGGTTAGCTTCTGAAAATCCTTTCGAAGGGACATTCTCAGTGTTAGGGATGGGCACAAACCGGCTCCCAAGAGTTGCTATGATAAAATCATTGCTGAAAACACCAGGTGCCACAATGGAATTTCTAGGTGCCATGGTGACCTGGCACCTGGGATTTGTCAATCCCGGCTGCAGCATATCAGAATCAATACAGGGCATTCTCTCTCCTGTTCTTTCCTAATGGTGGTGCTCAGTCACAGCAACCAATTTTCAGTATTGAAGCCAGACGGAAATAGGTCTAGATAGCCCAGTTCCTCTGGGAGTGTCCGCGGTGGTCCTGCCTCCGTGCACTTCAACATCTGGCCCAAGAAGAGAGATTTGCAAGAAGCTGATACAGTAGAGGCATAACATCCAAATTGCAAGATGTCATAGTCCCACTGTACACTGCATTGGTCAGGCCACACCTGTAGTATTGTGTGAACTTCTGGAGGCCTCACTTCAAAACGGATGTGGACAGAATGGAGTGGGTACAGAGGAGAGTGACAAGGATGATCGGGGGCCTGGAGACCAAGCCCCGTGAGGAAAGGCTGAGGGACTTGGGAATGTTTAGTCTGGAGAAGAGGAGGTTGAGGGGGGACAGGATGGCTCTCTTGAAGTATTTGAAGGGTTGTCACTTAGAGGAGGGCAGGGAGCTGTTCTTGTTGGCAGCAGAGGATAATAGGACTCGCAATAATGGGTTTAAATTAAGGGTGGGAAGGTACTGACTGGATATTAGGAAAAACTTTTTTTTGTGCAACAGTGGAATCAGCTGCCTAAGGAGGTGGTGAGCTCCCCCCGCACGGCAGTCTTCAAGCAGCAGCTGGACAAACACTTGTCAGGGATGCTCTAGGCTAATCCGGCATTGAGCAGGAGGTTAGACTAGATGTCTTGTATGGCCCCTTCCAACTCTGTGATTCTAGGATTCTATGAATACTCCTTGGGGACAATAAGTTGATAATGTGCTTGAAAATTAAGACCTTTTGAAAGGTTAGATTCGAGTCCAGTAGCACCTTAGAAACCAACAAGATCTTTGGGGTCTAAGCTTTCGAGAGACAAAGCTTCCTTCACCAGGTCTGACAAAAGGAGCTTTGACTCTCAAAAGCTTATACCCTGAAAATCTTGTTGCTCTATAAGGTCCTACTGGAATTTAGTTCTTCCACTGAAGATCAACATGGTTAGCTTCTGAAAATCCTTTCGAAGGGACATTCTCAGTGTTAGGGATGGGCACAAACCGGCTCACAAACTAAAGTTAATGATCAATTTTGTTGGGTTCATGGTTCGCGAACTGAAGTTCGTGGCAGGTCAACCAGCCTGAAATTTCCATGAACTTTCAAGAGGTTAAACGGGTAAATTTCCAGACAGACTGTCTCTGCACAATCAAAATGTTGACCAAACTCCAAAGACAGGGAAAGGTTCCCTGTGCATTTCATGTGTGTAGCTTGCAGGGGTTCCATTCTATACACCTTTGAACCTGCACCTGACATTTCCACCAAAAGCATTTTCCTGGGGGCATCTTATTTGAGGGACCATAAATTGGACCTCCTAAGTCCAATCTGCACATAACTTGGAGGGCATGTAGAGGAACATCAGGCACAGGTCCCCTGTGATTTTAATGTATCTAGCTTGCACACAGTCTGTTCTATATGCTCCTGAACCCACACATGTCATTTCCCCAGAAAGCATTTTCCTGGGGGCACCTTCTTTGGGGGGCTTTAACTTGGACACTGTAAATTCAATCCTCACCAAACTTGGGTGGCTGGTAGAGGAGATACAGCCAGAGACCCCTTGTGAGTTTGGTATCTCTCATACACTGGGGGCCTGTTCTACCACATCACAAACCTCATGAACTGAACTGGTTCCTTTGGCGCCTAAAAGCACGCCACAAACCATGAACCAAAATGAACCCCATTTTCCCAGTCTGTGCCCATCCCTACTTAGTGTAAAGTGTAATAAAGAATATGGCAATTTATGAATTACCTTCAAAAAAATCTTACTAAAGAATATTCAAGGATTGCTGGGGAAATGTAATTTAATTCAAATCTCTTAAAGGATGGGAGAATGTGTCCAACTACATTGCGGAAATAAAGTATATTTGAGAATGAGGTGTGGGAAAAGATTATACAATTACAGTACAAAAGAGGAAATATACATTTTTATTAGATGATGGCCATCATATTTTGGAAAGAGCAAATGACATATTAATACTGATTTGGGGGTGGAAAGGACTTTCAGGCAACTTTGAGTAAAGACATAGATCTCCATTAGTGGGGTTAAGGTGACGGCTGTAATCCTTTTTATTATTATTAGTATCTGAACACACCATGTTTCCTTTTGCTGAAAACTTTATTAAAAAATCATGTTCTAAAAAAGAGAGCAAAGAGTTCTGTTCTGCCTGAAATCCAACGAAGTCCAAATTCAGTAGTGCTTTTGGTCTTGTTTCTGGCACAGGGAGGGGTAACTCGTAGATAAAGAACGTATCTGCTAAGGGCCCATAGTTCAGCAGTAGAAAGCACCTCCTTTGTATGTCGAAGGTTCTCCGACTGAGCCAGCTTCATCTGCATTCCAGAAATTCTCGAGTACCAGGCTGTGGAACAGATTCCGTCGGAGACTTTTAACAGCTGCAGCCACAGTCACAGAAGAAGAGGCAGTGCTAGATAAGCGAGTGGGCTGAGTCAGTGTAAGGCAGCATCATGAGAAGTGGACTGGATCGGTCGATGGAGATTCCTCACATTCGAATGTGAACGTTGCTGCCTGGTCAAGAGATCACCACACCTGCCATGACCTGGATAGCCCAAGCAAACCTGATTTCATCAGATCTTGAAAGCTAAGCAGGGCTGACCCTGGCAAGTACTTCTCCGACTGAGCCAGCTTCATCTGCATTCAGAGACGTTTAACAGCTGAAGCCACAGTCACAGAAGAAGAGGCTGTGCTAGATAAGCGAGTGGGCTGAGTCAGTGTAAGGCAGCATCATCATCAGTGGACTGGATCGGTCGATGGAGATTCCTCACATTCGAATGTGAACGTTGCTGCCTGGTCAAGAGATCACCACACCTGCCATGACCTGGATAGCCCAAGCAAACCTGATTTCATCAGATCTTGAAAGCTAAGCAGGGCTGACCCTGGCAAGTACTTGGATGGGAGACCCAAGGAATACCAGGGCTGGGACTCAGGGGGAGGCAATAGCAAGCCACGTCTCTGAACATCCAAGCCCCACTAGGGGTTGCCAGAAGTGAACCATGACTTCCAGGCATGCATGCACACAGACACACAGATATATACACAAATAGGCTTGCCATTCCCCGGGGGGGGGGTGTTGCCCACTTTTAGGGCTCCTGATCTGCCAGCACTGATCCAGCTGGTGGGGGGAACCCTGCCCCCAAAGTGCTGTGATCACACCAACATGCCCAGTGCAATGACGTCACCTGGAGGTGACGTCATTGCACCCGGCATGTTGCCAGGGGGACACTCTAGCACTCAGCTAAAAAACTCTATGGTACCATAGAGTTTCTGGCTGAATGCTAGAGTGCCCCCCTGGCTATGTGCCTAGTGTGATGACATCACTTCTGGGTGATGTCACTGCAGTGTGCGCACTATGCATGCATGCCAGAAGATCCCAGACAGGAAGCCTCGTCCCCCTGCCGGCAACCCTACACACAAAAGAGATCACCACACCCATCGTATCTGAGGCCCAGGGCTTGTTAAAGCACTTCCTCTGCTTCTACCCTGCTGCCTTCCTCCTCTTCCTCCAGGGGTCCCATGTGAGCATCGTGGAGCCTAAGGGTCTCCTTGAGAGAAATGCCATCCACCCGCTTCTCTTCGCCTTCCTCGGCCGGATCGTGAACCCAGCGGTGCGTGCCGTCCTGTTCGGAGCTGCTGCTGACGTATCCGGGCAAATTCATGTGGGTGTCCTGTTGCTGGGCAAAACTCTTGCAGGCCCTGTTGGATATCAAGACCATGCGGGAACTGGCCACCATGTGAGACTGGCTGCTGGTGCTGTGGGTCATGTTGGTGAGGACGGAGCCGTAGCGGTAGCTCCCACAGGGAGCTGTCCTCTTCCAGTCGATGGGCGGGTTCCACCGGGCCCATATCTTCTTGATCTCAGTCTGCACCTAGGGAA